CTTTGGCATATTTATTTGCATGTGCAAAATGGTACAACAATCAGTAAATCATTTATGGAGACAGTTTTACAGACATATTGTAAATATAAAGCCCAAATAAGATGAATACCTTTGGTAATATATATATATATTACACCTATGTATCTGCATATCATGTTTTAACCTTAAATATTTTATTTGTACCCTTATTATTATCTTTTCATTTGGAAGCCATATCTTACAGTACCGATTCCTGATTTGATACATCCTTCCATTTTCAAACTGTTTTATCTGACATAGGGTCATGGGGGAGCTGGAGCTTATCTCAGCAGCAAACAAACACAAGGCAAGTTACACCCAGAATGGGACATCAGTCCATCACAGAGTTCACACAGGCACAAACGTGCACTCACTCACATCAGGGCCAACTTTTACAGTATGTCTTTGGACAATAGGAGAAAACCAGAGCACCCAGAGGAATGCAATGCAGACTTAGGGAAAACATACAAACTCCATGCAGATAGCACTGCATCACCGTGCCTCCCATCTGACAAACTGTACATCTTAAAACATATGAATTCATTTTGCAGTTTGTTCATGGTATTTTTCAGTGTTACAAAGTCATGATTTTTCACATTGTTTCATTTTCACGTACACCAGAACTCATTGCATATAAAGACATTGCACACACAATCTCTAAATAGCATTAATCCTCCATGTCAGGGAGTGGCTGACTATTCAAGCATAGAAGATTTAATGCTGGTTATTCTGCCTGATATACTTGCAGTTTGAGTGCAGGATCCGGTGTTTAAAAACAACACCATACAGTATGTAAGTACCAATAAACAGTGAAATTCTATTACAGGTTTATTTCCTAATCGTTGAATGCAGTATTTTCTCTGGGTTTCAATTCTAAGAATCACTGATCAATGATCATTTTTACATTCAAAATGTGTTTTGCCAAATATTTCATATTCGAAATGGTTAAAAGCAAGTGCCACATCTCAGAAGGTTAAAAAAAATGTTTGTCCTACTTCTTGTTTTATTAATACTATAGTCTGAGTGTACAAACAGAAACCTGGCAAAATCCTCGTGCTACCCACCTGTAGATGCTGCTTTCTTCGTATGTGGTTTTATTATGGAGGTGAAGAGTCCTCATCCCAGTTCCTGGCAGAGTTCTCTATCCAGGTGTATTAAAGTAAACTGGATCAGGTCCCAAACATTGTTGGCTTAACAAAGTGCAGATTCCTATCATGAGCTTTTAGTATGTACAAGAAGCCCTTTTGCACAGAAACATCACCTTATATGATGATTTTATAAATAATGTTTAATTTTTTTAAAATATTTGGAAAATAATATTTAAAAACGTATATTTCTAAGTCTATTTCAGCTGCTGCTATCACTATGTCCATTACAGATACTGCATTCAATAAAAGTACTACAACTGCAACCACAACCACTTATCTGATTGTTTTCGAAGTTTCTTCAAAGCAAAGAACACCTGAAGAGCTGAAAGAGGTTAGTATATTCATTAGGTTCAGTTAAGACAGTAATTAGCTTTTAGTAATTAGCTAATTTCTGCTAGACCAGGGCTGTCCAGTCCTTGTACTTGAGTGCCTGTGTATTTGCACCTTTAATTCAGATCATCTCTTAATGAACCAAGTTGCTTTGTTGTCAAAACATGGATGCAACTGTCCCTCATAACCAATTATTTCATAGAGATTTTTCATTGGAATTAATGGATACAATGCCTTGATCAAGTTGCTCTGACGATGGGCACATTTACAAATTTGATTTAACTGGGGACCAAATCTACTGTATATGATTAAAATAAAGAATAGAAATTCACTTATCACCATCTAATCCATCCTCGAATGCAAAATAATATTAAATTCCCATCTTAAAGTTTTAATTGTCAATGTATTATATAAATTGCTAAATGAAAATAACATAAGCAAGACCTTCATATCACTACTCACTACAATGATATGTTTCTAGAGGATAATGTACAAGGTACTGAAACACAAACCTTAAGTGACCTTGAGTACCAAGTGTTAGTTTCTAGTCTACAGATGTGAAACCAAAGGAACACAGAGTACAACGGCAATGATGAACGGAATAATTGCACAGTCTAAATGGTAGAACAAATGTGAATGGATTGTGCTAATGCGATCCAAAGATTGTGCTAATGCAAAACAGCTCCAAACACTTCACTGGCATGCTGTTCTGCAGAACCCTGTTTCTGTCTATGCATGTTAAGGAATTAACTGTAACAAACATTAGGTACAAAAAAGGAGGGGATTTTTCTAAATAGTACTAGGCTGACAAATGCTGAACCTCTTTTGCTATTTCCAGGAGAAAAAATGATCTGTCAGCTGCTCAAAGGGTAAGGGTAGAGGCATGTGGTCAACACAATGTGACAACACAAATTAGGTTAATTAGGTTGGGTAGCAAAGATGCTGGCTCAGAGACAGGTTAAGCTCTGTCATCCAGATATTCCAGACAAGTTCGAGCTCAGTCATGTCACGCTGAGCGGGATCCCCCAGGTGGCGCTGCAAAATCAGGCAGAGCACCACTGGGGTGGCTTTGGGATCTGTTCACCTGATTTTTCTGGCAAACGCCTGTAGGCTTGCAGTAACATCCATGAGGGATGTGCTCTCTCGCAAAGGCTGCTGACTTGCCTGTGGGCCTTGCACTGTGTCATTTGACAAATGGCTCTGTGGGAGGGTGTCTTGGAGGAGTGAGCTTCAGAGTCTCATTCTGTCCCACAGGGTACATGCGTTCTTGCCAGAGAGCCAGTCAGAAAAACAACTTGGCAGCTCCACATTGGGTGTGTAGGTAATACAAAGGAGCTAAATACACTGAAAAACACATTTGGACCAGAATCTGAGCTAAATGACAGCATTATTTTAACACCACCAGATAGATACAAAGAAATCACATGTGTGAATGAACGTTTTGACATATTTTCAAATCATTGTATAGTAAAGAAAGGTTCAGAATCAACATCTGAAGACAACATGACTTGATGATTTGATTTATTCATTTAAGTGTTGACTATCCTTCTTACTGACATCTTTTTGAAGAGGTTTCTACACATTGTTGAACCTAGGCCAACTTTACTTGCATATTCAGGTGGATTTATATGATCAAGGGTAAAATATTAAAAAGACTGACTTGCATTGTAAAAGGACAGATGATTGTAAATATAATGGTCAAAATACTGTATGTGTGAGATATTTAAAAGTATTAAATATATTATATTTAAAGAGATATATAAAATCTTAAAACACTTTTACAACAACTTGTAATGAAAGACAAAAATATTACATTCTGTAATGAAAACGATGGAAGCTGGATTAAATACCTCTCAATCTCTGCATGTTTTAAAAAGTTTCTTTTTTTGTGGTTTATGGGTGAGGTTAATGTCTAAAAGTTTTAAAATTAAGTCTCCACGTGGCAATCATAGTGCTCAGACCAAACTATTAAGGCTGTAAAAAGTAATTAGTCAGTGCTGCCAAATTTCATAGAGAACAATATACGCACAGAAGCTTTCAAAGATGCCTTCTTCAAATAATCAAAAATTCAATGAATGGTATTGTGACATCATTCTACTGGTTCCTTTGTCTAAAATGATGAAAGACGTAAAAGCACATATAAAACATAGTGAGCATGTTAAAACACACCGCAGGCAGATCAGAACACTTAAAAATGCACACTGCTGTTTGCTGACAGGCATAGCAAGTTTGGCTTCCAGATTTACCATCTCGAGTTTTAAAAAAGGGAGCTTTATTGTGAAAAGCCAGTAAGTGGTTTATAGTCCCTGTCAATACAACCCATGCATTGGATTTAAGGAGATTATTCTAAAATTACAACAAGTCATTCAAATAATAATAAATTAGGTACTGCCAGTGAGAGAATGCATTTTAAGCATAAACTCAAAAAGTGCACACACAATAAATTGGATAACAAAACAGATAATACCTTAAATAATATTAAATTCCAAATGTACAATGCAATATTGTACAAAAACCCATTAAGTTGTAAAATGTGCTCAAAGATGTGTGCACTGGCATTACTTCAGTGGGGCACTTCTTTCCTTGCAGAAAAGTCCCAGAATTGTTCTAATATAGCTAGTACCAGGAGCAGAACAGAAACTTGCAAAAATATGTTTTCACTTGCAGACCGCGACAAGAAAGCCCTTTTGATTTTTGAAATACCTTTAAACAATATGTTTGTGTATCAGCAGCCGTAGACTTCTCCTGGAAATATGTAAATGAACAATACTACTTACGTTTAAGAGATTGGAGAAGGGAGCTGCGTCAGCAGACGTAGGCTCCAAAGGAACAGGTAAAGGCTCATTCCATGCTGAAAGGAAAAGAAAAGCAACACTATGTTTCAACTGTGGACCCTCACACATGAAGAAGGCTCCACAGCCTTAACATAGTGTTTCTTTACTTTTCAGCATGAAATGAACCTTTACCTTTTCCTTTGTTACTTACTATGTACAGTGTATATGAAGGCCTTAGAATAAACAAATACGGCACGGATTATATGACTGAAACTCAAACAGAACAGCATTATCTGCTAGTTGATCACAGTAATATTAAACAAGCCCAGACCATTCTGCTCATTCATATTAGATAAGAATATCTCAATATTCTTAATCTGAATTAAACAGCAGCTTTAACTTTGGCTGATTCCTTGCATTTTTTAACATTCTAACTTACTCCATTAAACCAGTACTGTAAATATTTGCCTCCAATCTGCAGTCCTGAATCGAACTCCACTTCATTTCCAGGTGCAGCTCTGGGTAAATGGACAGATCAATAGATTATGAAGAGGGAAATCATAAACCGGTTGTAGAGTAGCTCAGGGAACCTTACTAGATACAGTGACTAGCAAAAATCTTGAAAGCCTTCCTTTAGTGTGTATATTCACTTTGTGAAATGATAAAACAATACATTTTTTAAACTTCATATTTTATTCGAAACTTGAATGAAACAGGAAAAACGGGATTATGGTTATTGTATACTGTAAGTGTTTAGACCCATGAACTCAATATTTGGTGGAAGCACATTTGGAAGCAATTACAGCCGCAAGTCTTTTTGGAAAAGTTCCAGTTTTTGCCCATTCTTCTTGGCTGAATTGCTCACATTTTTCCAGGTTACTTGGTTATCCCTTATGTGCAGCAGTTTTCAATTCTTTCCAGAGAATCCTATCGAGATTCAAGTCAGACGTTGACTGGGCCACTCATGGACATTCAGTTTCGTATTCCTAAACCACTCTGGTTTCATTTGGGCCTTGTGCTTTGGGTCACTGTCCTGCTGGTAGGTGAGCTTTTGTCAGATTTTATGTCTGAAGGTGGTTTTCTTCTTAGAATTGCCAGTACTTTGCTCCATTTATCTTCCCATCAATCTTGACAAGCTTTGCAGTTCTTGCTGATGAGATTATCTCCATGTAGTAGTTAAAATACCTGGACATAACAATAATAATAGAGAATGTTGTTACCATCACCTTTAAAACTATTACAATGCTCAAAACATGTAATAACTCAATTGTAAAACCACTTACTTCTGAAAACAAGGCCTTATATACACAACCACTAATTAATGCCATGTAAGATAAGATAAGAGCACTTTATTGGCCATATACAATTTCTAGTATTAGGAATTTGTCTTTTCACATACCCCAACTAGCTCTCCATGAGACACACAGACAGAAAAAGAGAAGCTTGGGGTCAGAGTGAAGGGTCAGACACTTAAACAGCACCCCTAGAGCAGTGTGGATTAAGGGCCTTGCTCAAGGGCCAAAGGGAGTAGGATTCCTCTGCCGGCCAGGGGATATGACCTGGCAACCTTCCAGCCACAGGTGCAAATTCTTAGCTACAGAGCCACCACACTGTCCATGTAAATGCATTAATTCTAAATAATTGACTGTTAATTATTTACTTAATCATACCTAGCTACTAATAGCTGATGTGTGGTGAGTGTTCTGGCGCACTATGGCTGCCGTTGCATCATCCAGGTGGAGCTGCACACTGCTGGTGATGGAGCGGTGTCCCCATTACCTGTAAAGTGCTTTGAGTGGAGTGTGCAGAAAAGCGCTAAATAAAACTAAGCAATTATTATTAATTATTATAATTACCTTGGTGATCTATTTACAAAGGTCACCTTGATTAAATATCTAAAGATATTTGCCTTTAGAGACTGTTTTGGCGTCCTCTTGTGGCAGCCCTGTAGTTATTACAATCCTTTCATGGGACAGCCTGACGGATTTTAAGGTTAATGTGATCCAGTGTCAAACTGTACCATGAATATGGATATGGATATGAATATGGATATGGATATGAGCAGCATCATGTCCAATGCATTTATAGAGCTGTCATATTTTGTCACAGTGGTACAACATTTCATGCATTGTATTTAAAGTCTTTGGTTGTGGCGGAGCATCTTAAACAAAAATAGTTGGTGCAGATATCTGCTGGTCGGGGGGCACATCTGACAGCATAAATGATGCCATCTGGTGGCACAATCCGTGAACTGTGGGGATTTATTCAACATTTCCTCTAATCTAAATGTCTACTTTTTAAAACTGAAGACATGTTTGATTTTCTTTAGTTCCTCTTCTTTGTCTGTATGTTAATTTCCACATACTTACCTCTAATTTTCAATCCCTGAATTACCAGAGTAGAAAAAGGGGATCCACAGGGTGACCTGTAATGTAAATTTAGATAGATCATCTTTTTTGACACAAAACAGGCCATGTTGCTGTACTGGTGAAATCAGAATCACTACAACGTTTAGATAAAGTTTTATAGTTTGGATATCTGCTTAGGAGCCATTCTCTCACAGTTATCCAGGATTCTCCAACAACACTGTCAATTACAAAACTGCATGTTGCCCACTTTGCATATGCTTACTATGGTCTTTGTGTCTAATTACTAAAATACAAGTAACGCTAAAATAGATTATATCTGGCATTACTAGGATGCAGTAAGTAAACATTTATGTATGTTTACAGTCACAGGTAAAGGACGTACAGTATCTGCCAACTGTTAAGATTTGTTGGGCCATACTGTTAGCCAGCTACAAACAATAAAACCACTCCTTATCTCAAAAGAAGTGTTCTCTGAGCTTCCGTATTAATACGACCATATATAGCGCATTTTTCGACGATCGCATTATTTACAAAGTATTTGAAAGCCTTCAATAAACTGCATTTAACTGCATCTACCTTAACTGCTGCAGCCCTGAAATCTTTTTAAAATATAAAATAAGCAGTTTAGCTCTGTGTCTTTTCCAGAACCTTATTCACTGTTGGAGTACAAGGCTGCATATGGAGTACAAGACTCAGTCAGATTTCCTCTGCGTTATCTAAATAAATGCAATGTTAAAGGGTTCCCACCTCTCTCTCTCTCTTTCGCTCACTTGCTTTCGCTTAATGGGAGGAGCACAGACTCACCGTATAAGAAGTGCCCATCGCACAACTAAGAACTTTACACAGCAACTCAGGAGAAACGAAATGATCTGCCCTGGAGCCGCAGCAAAATGCTGGATGGACACCTACTCCTGGGATGGTTATCATTCACAGTTATAGTCCTCCTTATCAGCTTGCCTGGACAAACCACTGCTAATTTCGGGTAAGTGCTATTATGTTTGAGTTTGGTTAAACACATCGAATAAATACAAGATGAATTAACACAATTAATATTTGTTTTCTAAAGAATTCTGAGTTGTATATGAGGATGCGCGATTTTAGGGACGTTTGTTGGCTCGTAAAAAATGGGGTGATTATTATTAGAAGTAGAAGCAGAAGCAATAACTTCGATTGTAATAGCTGTATAATACAAATGCTGTTTTTCTTATGTTTTTCCACGAAGTTACTAAATGTGTAGCTCGTGTATCAGTGAAGTATTTGAGCTGTGGTTTGTTGAACATTATTTTTCTAGTTTTTTCGGAGTTTTCAAATCTTGCTGATTCTCAGGATTATGCAGTTTCTCCGGAAATATTTCTGTTGTGTGGTTCTCACTCACTGGGAAGTGGCGGCAGGTTGTTCTGCACAGGTTGCTGCTGACATGCAGCTGTTGATTCGTCCGCAGTTGTTTAACTGTTTCAATATAAGCGTGTCAGGCGTTTGTTTCGCCGGCACTTTGATTACATTGTCAATTCACACGCATTGGTTTAAGGCGTTATTCCGATCTACGAAAAGCACTAACAAAAACATGTCTGGCTATTGGGGTATTGCTGCATTTTTTGGTCTTTATAGCGTTTTGCGTATTAATTTGATGGTCTGCGAATGAAAAAGTATAACTGCATTACAGCTAAGTTTATAACTCCCCTGTTGACTTTCATTTAAGCGGAAATGCATTTAGAGTTTCTCGGGATTGGTTCGGTGCAGTCAGAGACACTTCTAGGTTTGTCATTCACTTTAGTCAGAATGAAACAGATACCTGAACTGGAGCTCGGCAGTTTGACATTTCTGAACTCCACCACTCATGAACACATATACATTACAAAGAAGCACACAGACATAAAGTACACTACACCCCTCACACCATAGTAACGCTGTCAGCCGACTTACTGTATGACAATAAATACAAAGATTAGTCGAAAAAAGAAAGAAAAACGTAACCAAAACGGGTGCTTGACGCAGCTACTAAAGATATGTAGTTGACGTTTACTCTGCGGTCATAGTAGTCCAAGATAAATGGACATTAGATACTGTGTGTCCCCGTTGGCTCCCATTATGTTTAATAAAATCAGAATTAAATGAAGGAAAATGTCATAACCAGGAAAGTTCCTGGTCACTGTAACAAAACTTCAAGTTAGCGTCATATTTTTACAATCGTTTTTTTTTTGCACAATTGATATAAATATTGTCACAAGGACACAAAAAACTCCAGTCTGAGAAAGGTGATAAAAACACAAGACATACGTATAATTCTCGTCATCAGAGCGGTCCTTACTGAAAAGCAGTGAAATTCGGCAAGGAAGTATTCCGGTTACGGACACTTAGTTTTGTTTCCACGAGCACAGAAACAATGCTCGACAATGTTAATGGTATTAAAACAGTTTGTAATCTCAAATGAATTTAAAGAAAAGTAAAACAAGACCAAATCTTAGAAAAATATGTAGCATCCAAAATGAACCAGATGTAATGCAGCGCTTGTTGTGTGCCCCTCTTAAACACAAGAACTCAATCCTGCACGAATAGAGCTTAGATGCATTACTGACCTCCTATTACTGTAGTTCCCCTGAACTATTTAAATGGGAAAGTACAGTAACACGGCGACTTCATTCCACCAGTCTCTTGTCAGATGTTATATAATTCTCTCTCAGTGTATTGATCAGTTGAAATGAATGATACGTTACTTAAAAAGAAACACAAGTGATGGGGTCCTGGCATACACAGTACACTTTGCGATGTCTCAGTAGTAGAGGTTAAACAAGCATTTAAAAAAAAAATTACAACTACAGCCATTCTTAAGATGCCTCTTCTCTTTAGACAAGCACAAGATTTATGGAAAACATTCAGACATTGAGACTGAATAACTGTATAAAGGAATATAAGAGACTTTGTCCCTTCCCTGATTTAAGAAGATGTGGAAAAGAAGTCATGGTGCATAAAAGTACAGTATTTCTATAGCATTACTTACTGGAGGACTGCTGAGAAATCTTCTTTCTTAACAAGTGAAATGAGTCTGTTGCTCTGAGGGTATGCAGCAGGGTGTGTTCGGTGTAGCATGTTGTTACAGTGTGACATAATTCCCAATGAAAATACCAGAACTACTGTGCATACAATAAGCAGACTTGACTCTGCAGGACACTGTATAGACTACTGAGGTGGCTAAATCATGTTTTATGTAAGTAGGAGTACATACATTTGTCTCTTGCCAGCTTTATGTATAAATCTCTGTGTTGTCATTATGCCTGCACTGAATTTTAAATAATATGATGGTTTTGTTGGGTAATTTGTATGAAAGAAAAGTCAGTGTGTATTTTCTTACATATCATGAATAAAACTACACATTTTCAGTTTAATATCTGGGAGTATGCATTTGTCTGTGTTTATTTATCTGTGTTTTGTTTATAAAAATCATACAAAAACTGTTGTTTCTGATGTCTTCAACACATCAAATTCTTTACATTGAATGCCAAAAGATTTTGACTTTAGGATTCTTTCTATGCAATGTCATTTCTGGATTTGTGGTACCGTATACTATATTTATGTTTTTACTTGGTTCCTTTCAGTGCCTTCCTTGTCAAACATAGATTTGAAGCATGTATTTTACATTATTTTCAAAAAGCAATAAAGTGTTGCTGATTACTGTATATTCTGTGAACTGATGTAGCCCACCCTAGTTTCCATTGTTGTTGGATGTTGAAAGGTACCATTTTAATGTAAAACATTGTGAGTAGTGTTGAGCTGCCATGGATTTAAGTCAATGAAACTGTATTGCCAATCGTTGAGTTTTAGTTTGGTCATCAATCAGATGTCACTTGGATTTACCCATCAGGAGAAGACCATAGTTGACTGCCAAGTCATGGCACCCACTGCATCTCTGAGAATGAACAGGAACCCTCTCAGTGGGGTTGAGCATCGCTTGCTGCTGTAATATTAAATAATGCACACGGGGAGATGTTTGCTCAGTAAGTGAAAGAATCTTGGATCAATTCAATGTCTCTAGGGCATTTGAGATAAAACGTAGAGTTCTGCAATGGTTTTACCAAAAATAAAAGTTATAAAAAAGCTGCAACTGGCGTTCCTATGAAACCTCTTTCCACCTTCCTTTTATCATATCAGAAATAGTTACTTTTCTTTGTCTAAACTCTTTAACATGCTTGAGACAAACATGCACTAGGATCTTAAATAATATTACCTACTGGGACCTACTGTACTGGATTTTTAGTTTTCAGTAAAGCTTAAAGCAGTGTTTACTATGTACAGTATCCGGCCTGTCAGTCTGTATGACAGGGAGCAAAACAAAAAGAGAGGGAATAGCGGGAGGTTTACTCAACACGTTTCAACATTAAAGGGAGCAACCCCAAACTAGTAAAGTGTTACTACTCAAGACACAAGCCTATCCATTTTGTGGATGTTGAAACTAACACAAACTTGTCCAAATAAATACCTGTCTTCAGTGAAAGGCATCTGAGACGTTATGTGGGACTGATTTACTCAAAATAGACTTTAAATGTTGCATACTCAATTTCCCTTGTGCGGTGGAGCATGAGCGTAATATAAATACAGCATCTGTGGCTGAGGCAGTGCGAAGCTGAGGGTGGAGGGGGATTCCTTTTGGAAGAGGCTGTAGCAAAGAGCAACTCAAAATTGTCATTCCCATGCCTCAGGAATGTGGGCCCAGATTCCACTGTTAGAAATGGAACTCATGCTGTATGCGTGAGGTTTTGCTGTTGATTGTGATAGTGTTTTTAAAAGCTTGAAGGACTCGCTAAATATTTTTTTTTACCAAAGAAAAGAAATGACAACGCATGATAGATGAGTGTTGCAACATTGTAAATTCGGGTGCTTAAGAGCAGTGCATTGACATGTTTTCTAAATGGAAATGCTTTCTAATTTTTCGTGGATTGAATCTTTATCTACTACTTTGAACATTCAATTAGTAAAGTAGCTCTGTAAGATAGACAAATGTTTTGTTTCTGAAAAGGTTCAGTCTTATCGCGGGATTTAGAAATTAATTTAGAGCAGCATTGATTTAGATTAATTTACCTGTCTTTAAATTTACCTTTTCATATTGGTACTTAGAAAGTCTAAAATGAACCAGATTTACAGGATCTGTGGTTATAATGATAGCAAAAGTTTTTATTCAATAATATTAGTGTATAACATGCTTTAGAGCTTCAAAACATTAAAAAGACGACATGTTTGCAGTTACTTGTTCCTGCAAACACAAACAGGAAAAAAAATAGACATTATGCTATTTTTATCTAGGCTGGTTTGGATCTTAATCTATTCATTAACTTTGAGACCTAATAGTATTCTTATACTTGATTCTTATATCCCATTGAAAGGTAAGACTTTCTTAAATAGGCTAATATGGATCACTGATCCTGAGGCACTGTTGCTCCAAAATACCATCTCCAAATGCCTTGACAAGCATGGTCTTGAAATGTCTTTGCAGATGGGTGAACACAGCTGATGTCATAGGGTCTTGTAAATCAGTTACAAGGGGATTTGTCTCTAACTCATGGATGATGTGGTCAGTGTAGAGGTAATTTAGTCATTTTTCAGATTCTCAGAAATCAGAACATGCTTTTTGAAAGTCTTGAATAATGTAATGTAATTCAGTAATAAAAAATAAATAGAGACCTAATTTCAATAAGGTTAGGCAACAGAGGTTACGTGTGTTGACCTGGACCCGGTGTGTGTATGTTATCGATAGGATTATCACTGTCTAAGATATACAATCGTATCTGATCTTTGGGTAGGTGATGGCTTTCATTCTCTAGTGCCGGTAGTTTTCATCTTCATTTTATGGCAGTTCTTGAAATCACTTGAGGAAGAGCTAAATAAATCCCCCTTTTGCAATTTGAAGAGTTATCTTATGTTCAGGTGTGATGGCCCATGTGTAGATTCATCCATCTCCACCAGAGGGAGCAGCCACCTTTATTAGCACTGGGATTAAAGTACTCCTATAAAATCAACCTTTTCCCTTATTTTATGTAATCTTGGACAAGTGGGAAGTGAAATTGAAAAAAAAAGATCAGATCGAAAGGCACAAAGTTCTATGTAAATAAATAGTCAAGGAAATGAATTTCCACTTTCTTTAGTTGTGGTCAGACTAGTTTTGAGAATGAAATGCCTTTGATCCAAACTACTGTTTACAGTCTCCGTTTGGTTTTCATATACTCAGCTCTGCTGTAAATTATTTAACTTCTCAAACTGCTGGAGTTTTCCTTTTTCCTGGTTGCATGATTGTGTTCATCCTGCATAATAACAGACTGAGCAACAGTGGTTTGGACCTTAGTGCCTGGGAAAAGAATTTGTTTTTCTTCATGGTTTAGATTTTATTATTTCTAATGATCTCTCACAATGCCTTGCCTGCACTTACTTGTGGTCAGATGTACACTGATTCTCAAAGAAAGGAAGAGACAGTGAAACAGAGAGCAATAGAAAGCATGTGTATTGATAATAATGCTGCTGATGGTTGTAAAAGTCAAGGGTCTCCCAACCATAAATGGCATTATTAGAAATGTGTATTTTTATTCCATTAAAGTTTTCAATATGACTCCAAAGACTGAGATGCTGTCCAACACTACCTCCAGTCCTGCACTTGTAGTCTCTCATGTTCAAAAGGCTAGGGCAGTTATTCATTACATGTCATAATACAGAGGCATTTTCGAATGGCAATGGGGAACTTATTTTTAGGAAATGGCTGAGCCAACAATCTTTTAATGGTGCTCATTAGGAGCCCCTCTATCCCATAATTATACTTAATTTGATATGAAAACATTGGACTAGGCCTGGATGCAATATCACACTCAGAGTCTTAGCTCTGTTTTGAATGCCTGAGGTAATGTATTAGTTTCCTAGTGACAGATAATGTCCAAAGCTTATCTTAGCTGACATGCTGATGGGGGCAGGTCTCACTGAATTGCCTTGATAGCAAGTAGGGATATTATACTGCCCCACTTCATCCCAACCTAAAGTGGCAGCCTGCGTGGTGCAGTATATAGTATTTCACAATACATAAGCCTTTCCTTCTTTCCTTCGATTTGTCACACCAGTCATTCGACGTATAGGATTTAAGAAACAGCAACAAAATGAATACAAAGCACAGCAGTGAGGACCACATTATATGTTGGTTTTGTTTCATTTTATATGTGCCTATTTTACATAGAGAGCTATCTGTGCAGACCATTTGGTTTGCCTTTTTACTTAGCAACAGTATTTGTTTTATCAATTGTCTCACCCTTGTGAGTGACCTGGTGGTGTGGAGGATACAAGCTGTCTTACAACTCTTGAGTCATGAGTTTGATCCCATTCTGGAGTCCTGCTGTGTGGAGTTTGCATGTGTATCTTCTGTGTGGTTTTACTCAATGAGCTCCGGCTTCTTTCCTCCCACAGGCAGGCAGGCTGAATTGTCCCCTTTTAGTGGTCCTGTCCATGGGCTCTCTTTCCTTCCCTTGCCCCCTGTGCTTACAGGCTCTGTGTCATTTCAGACCTCATCAGAATTTTTTCAAGTAGGTAGCTGTGTCAGCATGTGTATGCTGCAAAGGAACAAGAAAAGGTTTATTCCATGCTGAAAAGAGAAGAAAAGAAACACAACGTGTAGACTGTGGAGCTTTATTCGGGTGTGAAGAAGGCTCCACACCAGAAGAAGGCTCCACAGCTGAAAAATTGTGTTTCCTTTCTCCTCATCAGAATTTGCAGCTTTCTAATAATGGATGGAGTGACCACTGTTATGTATTAATACAAATGTACTTTAAGAAGTAGGTAAACTGTAATATTTCTGTTTACGTATTAGGTTCATTTTAGGTTGTTAAGACAAAATGTATATTTGTATGTAAATTTTAGACATGACAATACCAAAATTCAGCGTGAGCACTCATAAAACCCATGTTTTTCAGTATATCACAACAGGTATAGCATAAAACTTTTCCATGATATGTTTAGTACATTTTAAGAGAACGTTTTGTTTTGCATTTATTTATCCATCCATCCATTTTCTAACCACTTTATCCAATTCAGGGTTGTGGGGAGCCAGAGCCTAACTTGGCA